ACGGTATGGTAGACTTTAACCCCATTTAAAGATATGAAAACTGAGGTTCTCAAAATAAGCAGTTAGCCTCATCCCATAACAAAATAATGCATAAAGACTCATTGAACACTTAATATAAATAGGCACTATACTTTGAGCACTACATACACTTCTCATACAAACTTCTAACTAGTGAATGGAAGAATAAGAATTCACCTTGACTTTGACACCAAAGTTTTTGTTCTTCCCTGACTCCTTATCTAGTCCAACTACCTCCCTCATTTAATGGTCAAGGAATGGCATTAAGAGCTTCAATAATTTATCCAAAACAATACAATTGCTTAATAGTACCAGAATAAAAAATAATAGTTTCCTGACTTCTATGCTAATACTTTCCACTTTGAATGCCATGATGCTTCTGTCGCAGCAAAGGAAAGCACAAGATCAGATGGCTCTGCTGGGCTGTAGTGTCCGGTTTGCTTCAGCAGAGAAGGTAGAAACCCCTGCTTAGGCAGATGCAGAAGCAACTCCGCAGACTTCCTCTGGTGTTAAATGCCCTCTTTCACCAAACTCACAGATTCACTGAGTCAAATAAGCACTGTTTTCATTATTTCCATATTGACACATTAATAACAGACTTACAAATTATTAATACAGAACACTTCGTGAAAGTTCTAAACTGAGCAATTTTTTTTAAATCCCTTATTTTAATAGACTTTAAGCTTTCTCCCAAATCACATTCTCTTTTAGGAGTATGAGGAGTAAGAAGAAAGCAGTGCAGTCCATGTTTCCTGTGCAAGTTAACTGCTTTTTCAATTTTCACTGAAGTTTTCCCTCTGACTTGGAAATCATTTTCCAAAAAAGAACATTCTTTTAGCACTTCACTAGAGTTACGACTGTCGTGGTATTATTACATGAATGCTAAGAAGCTGGCTTTCACTCTGGAAAATGTGGAATTAAAATTCACATCAGATCATGATTATACACTACCATGTTTCATGGACCATCATAGTCTTCACACAGTTGAGACAATGAATATTATTTAAACAGAAGAAACTTTTAACAAAAATAAGTTTATAATGGCCTATGAAATTATCTAGCCTAATGCCCTAAGAAAACTTTCTATTAGGAACTTACTCATTTTAAGTGCTAAAGCATCTTAGCTCAACCAATTTAGGCAAAAATCTTTTATAAAATATATTTCATTTACCTGTTCAGTAAATTGTATATCTTGAATAAAATTTAACTTTTTCTTATTTACTATCATCATTAAGAACACCAAGCTTATAAACAGTGATGTCTTTAACAGTAATAACATTTAAAGACAATTTATTATCATATTAAAAGACCTCAAAGTACTTATATGTTTCTAATTAGTATTTCTTTAATCTGTCCACTTTCAATCAATTGTCACTTTGGTTGATGTCGGCTGTATCTCCTTCAATCAGCCACCATAGTACTCTAATATAAAGATTTGGACATGGCTAAAGGTTAGCAAGTGTGCCCTATCGTCTAAAGAATAAACTGACTTTACATATGCTTCTCTCCTAGCAAGCAAAGTAGACTAGATTTTACTTATGTTTACTTTCCTCTGGCTGGGAGCTGTATTTTAAATATTAAAGGCTGCCAACAATCTGTCAAGTAAGTAGAAGAGGGATTTAAAAGGAACAGCTTGCAAGGGCCCAGCAGGTAATATGAATTAATGAAGAAGGCCAGATGTGAGGACTAGGCCCTATCTGAAGGGGACAGTAACTACTCAACTGAGATTATTTTTCTCAAACAGAAACATACTCCTACCACTACCCAACCTTCTATTTTTCAAGAGATGAGACATCCACATTTTTGTGTAATATCTGACAACTTTAAATGTTAACTAGAGAAATAGGACAGTGGCTAAAGGATAAAATATGTCTGTTGGCTCCCAGCTTGTGGCCACTGAAAGGGAACTATACTGTTCTTAAGGTTCTCCCTTGTACTGAAACACAGAGAACTCTAGGCTCTGAATTCAAGTCACCTATATAGAAAAATTTTTTCGCTGTATATTTGGAGAACTCAGCCAAGACTAGAACTGAAACATTTCTCCCACTCCTGTGTGTAATGCAAATTTTCTATATTGGCTAATTTATTTAACAAAGTAGGACCCGGTAGAAAATATATGATAGTACCAAATCAATATACTTATGTTAGTTAGTACTTGTTACTTCTGAGCATGAGTTACATGAGAAATTTCTCATACTTTTTAACATACCACATTCTCTGATCCAATCACATCTAAGAAAGTATATGACATCTGAGAAGCAAATAAACTAAAATGCATTCAAATATTACTAGAAAATTAGCATACCAGATATTTGCGGACTATTTCATGGTACTATTCAGAAACATTATATAAACTGATCCTCAGCATATCCTTTCCAAATGGATAGGAATTTTCTCCCATTTTATAGATGAGGAAACAAGAGTCAGAAAATGGAATACGTTGGCCAATATAAGGGTAGTAAAAACAGAATTCACATTTAGGTTTGAACTCTTGATCTTTCCACTACTTCAACATTTCCCTTAAAGTCCGATGATAATGAAATGGCTTATGAAAAAGGCTAAACAAATGGGGATGACTAGAAGTGACAAAATAGTAATTTAAAACCTCAGTTATCCAGCTCCCAGATTTATTATGCCTTCTGTTATTCAACATAATACCTAACCTGGAATTCAGCATACAAAATTTGAAACTGTCACCAATTCCAAAAGTAATAATCCCAGTGGGATCCCTAGTTTATGCTCACAGTTGCAAAAATGCAACATGCACTGAAAGAATTAGCGATAATATCTTGAGTAACCAGAGTGTTAGTGTTTCCCCATGTGCAAGTAATAATCAGTGGAGTCACCTTGAGGAGGGTGGAGATAAATGTTATAATCCACAGAAGGCAAAAAGAGTAGATCATTAAAATTTCCCTCAGGTCCACCTCTGAAGATCAACATAAGTTGATCAATAATTTCAACCTAGCCAGTTTTTTTCCAGCAAGAAAGGATATCAAACCAAACACATGGCTTCTTGCATTGCATGAAATTTTTTAAACACAGTGAGCTGTTCATAGTACGAGAGGCATGAAAGAGTGATTATGGTCACAGCACATTCACTTTCCTATGTCATACTCACTTCAGGTCACAACCTTAATGAAAGGCATGGTGATGGTGGATAGAATCTTTCACATGTACTGAACTTCTTCTTATTTTTCTCTTTTAGGGGATTTACATAAAGTAATGTTCAGATTAATCTACCATATTATATTTAAAAAGTCACAACTTTACAAAGTTAATGAGGGTGAAATAAACGTGCTAAAGCTGTTGATGAAACTGAGCTAGTAATCCTAAATACATTTTAGGCCACTGAATACTAAGTTAGGAAAAACAATTCTATTTAAAAAAAAAACAAACAACAGATATAAACACAATTTTGTGGCAATGCAGCAATTTTAAACTATTAAATTGTGTAAATATAGATCGTATGCTCTATCTTCCTGAAAATCAAAAGAGAACATAAAGAATATTATGTTCTAGAATATGCTTCAAACTGAATTCCAGTCCCTTAGCGCCTGGAGCTTTACAAATAAGAGACCTGGATCCTGTAATACAAGATCATTATTGTCATATGTCATCTATTTTTAAACCTTTGTTTTCATCATAGCAGCCTAATTGTTCTCATTTTATTAAATACTTATAAGTAAACATTATAAATTTACATTATAAAACAAGTGCACAATAGTAAAATAACCTATGTATCACTTTTATATACTGGGGTCCTTCATAAGAATTTAATGTACAAAAAAATTGCTGTTTTTTAAAAAGTTGCTGTATTTACAAAGTTCAAAACTTACTGTTCTATGTCCTATTAGTCAGGGATATATTCATAATACTCTACTGACAAAGCTGGAGAAATGTGCTATACCATTTAAAAAAAATTTTAAAGTACTGTGATTTAAACATTAGTGCTAAAAGTATAACTGTTCTGCGTATCTGAAATATGTGAATAAGAATTTAATTCTCCCACCTTTCTGGGTCACTGTGGATTTACAGTATCTCAATAAATGTTTCTATTTCAGAACAAAGTTAAGAAAGCTTTTTGAAATTTTTGAAACAAAACTTACAAAGTCAATGAGTTGCATTACTTTTAAATATACCACAAGTTTAAACTAAGACTAAAGTGGACATCAACAATTAATATAAGTTAATTAACTTAAAAATAGAGTATTTACTTCAGTTTTGTTACATTAGAATACATTAGCTATAAAGAAAAGGGATATCCCGACCTAGAAGATGTACACTTATTTCTAAATTCGAAATCTGCATTTGAATGCCAATATAAGCAAAAGTTATTAGGATAAAAAGTTAGCATCATTAAAAATGTGAAGTAATTGGATGGCCGGGAGGAGGCAGCACAATGAAAAAGAATTGGAACCCATAATACAAAAAGTCTGATAGTGTTAAAAAATATATATATATATTTTTTCTGTAACTGATTTATATAAAGAGAATTAATATTCTTCCCAGAAAGCTACCAAACAATACCTCCAAAACACACACACACACACACACACACACACACACACACACACACACACCCAGAAAAATCACACTGTTCAAAACAAGGTTGTTAGGCTTTTTAAAAAAAAAAAAAAATCTATTCAGATTAATATATTTTTTATTTCTAAAAATAAATATCAAGCAAACTAAAATATCCAACACAAAAGGAATATTAAGTTAATTAGAGCCAGAAAAGCACCACTGTGGTGATCAAATGTTCTGGCAATGACAGAACAGAAGATGGTGAGAAATTACAGGAATTTAACCTTTGACCTCACCATCCTATGCACTGTTTCCATAATAGAGGCTTAAAGGTTCTATCAGCAAACATTTGAACTTCCTAGCAAGCAAGCTCTAAGTTCGCCTTCCTATGTAAACTCAGTAAAATTCAAATGTTTTTTTAATTAAAATGTTCAAAATAAAGAGCATTTGGTTCTTACCTCTGGTCTTGATGTATGTGACAAGTCTCCACACTGGCATACTTGCTGCCTAAGCAGCTACAAAGACTAGGTTAGCAGCCATTTTGAGACAGCTGCACTGTCTCAGTTGCACTAAAGTGTAATTAAGATGGCTGCAATGTGCACTCAAGAACTCCCACAGTGAAAACTCAGCTATGTATCAAACAAAACCCCTCCCACTTTGTCAGCCTGCAGGAAACTGAACACAGACAACAGCTAATGCATACATTGCAACAAACAATGCAGCTACTCAGGACACAGAAAACAGAGAAGGCAGCAAGCCAGTTTTGTAACATAATGCCTGTGAGTCCCGACTTGCAATACAGACTTTGGGCACATCCAGATCCCAGACAGCTTGAAGTCCATGCCACATATTAGCAGTTACAGAGATGGAGCCAAATCACACACAGCAAACATCAGGGAATTTGCTTGAAAGAAAGCCTCCATTTCAGTCCAGAAAAAAAAGTCAAACTCTGCTCAAGGCCTTTTTAAAAAATCTTTTGTAGTACTTTTATCATGAAAGGAATGCCAATTTTTATAATTTCTGGAAAATTAAGCTGTTTAAATCTTAACAGTCAATTTTCATTTATAGAAGGCTAATTAAAGGTTTTTCCCACAGAACCTAAACCCCCAAAGTGCTCAACTTTAGCAGAAAGGTTAAAGATTGCAATCAAATATTTGAATCTTGACAATAATTTTAAATAACTGCTAGGGAGGGGCAAGAATCATTAGAGCTATGATGGCAACAAAGCATATTTTGAGCAATCTGCCATAAAGGTAAAAACAATTTCTTCTCTTTTGTAGTCCAGATGGTCACAAAGACATCCCCAGGTGAATGAGTGGTCCCAGGGCAAATTAAATTTCATGCCCTGCCACGGACCTCCCAACATTTTGATATGGGTGAAAAGCAAATGTAGACACCCTTGGGAAAAAAACAAATAGAATAAAAGGGTAAAATTCAATCTGAAAGTAGGTATATTAACCAAATTTGAGAGTTAACCAACAAATGTGTCTTGGTATTAACACTAGCCATCAAGAGAAGTGAAGGACAAAAGCAGAGAAAGAACCTGTTTTCTTGATAGTTCACATCAGCTAGGAAATTCACCTTCTCCTTCTCTCTTCCTTGGTTTACCTTCCTAAAATTTAGCTGCCCTGTGCTATCATGTCTCGATCCTCCACTTGATGTAGGTATTTATTAAAACTGTTGGTGGGGAGGGGGAGTAGGGGGTATAGCTGAAAGGAGACTGGCCCCCTAAATTGATTTTTCAAGCTGAGTGACTGGGCACATGGAGCTCATTATTTCATTCTATTTCTGTATATATTTGAAATTTTCCATAAAAAAAAAACAAAAAACCAATCAGCTTTTAAAAGGTCTTTATTCTCCAGGAGGCAAACTAGATAATGTATGTAAAAACTGCTTTTATGTATTTTATCAGAAAAAATAAGTTATGTTTGATCCAACCCACATAAATTCTTCAAAAATATAACTGATTCTCTGAAGTGGCTCAAATCTATTTGTTAAAAGCAAGAGGTTGGTAAACTGGGAAAGATTCTAACAGAATAGACATTACTGCAGCACTGGAATGTGACTAAGGTTAATGGAGAGACAAATAGCCAAAACACTTGGAGCTATCTGGGAACAGCTTCTGATACTAAGTAGATTCTTTAGGAAGTCCGTTCAACAAAGATTTAAATTACATAACAAATCTCGAATGTCCTAGTCACAATTCAACCTAAATTATTTTATCACTGACAATCCTTCCCTTAGTCTCCTTTCTCCTCACTATGCCCATCCCCCAACTAGGTATAACAGCTCTCTCAAGATCTTTTATGCATACCATCATTATACTTACCATATTTCATTACTTATATCTTTATATGAGTTCCTAAAGGACAGAAATCACATCTTAATTAATTTTCCATTCACTTCCATAGTGTGCAACACAGTATTTATTTGCTCAATAGATGGTGAGTTGAAACATTTCCAGTGTTTTTGTTTCTACCACAAAAATCTCAGAAAATTCTACATCTTTACAAGTTCCTTCATTTTTATGAATCTCAACTCTTACTTTCCAGGAAGAATAGTCAACTAATAAGTTCCCTAAGCTTTTATTTAGTCTTGGCCTAATAACTCCTGCACTTCAAAACCCAAGATGGAAAAAATACTTTTTGTGGAGCATTTTTCAGTTTTTAGTGTTTTTATAGGCACTACATAGGAGCTACTATGTGCTTAGAGGAGTTGAACTCTAAAAGTCTATAGAAAGCTATAGAACATACGTATATTATTTATCTCTAAAATTTTAAGACTAAGAAAGAATACAGCTTGATTATATAATGAAATAGATTATATTTGCTTTTGATAAGTTGAGTCATAATAAACCCAATCATTTATTGGGTTTAGAAATGTAAAAGAAAGCATACCAGGAAACTATTTCTAATGTTAAACATTTCCATCATTACCAAATGTTTTGTCTCTTCCTAAATAAAAACTAGCACTTTTCATTTCATTCTCTCTTTTTTTTTTTTTTTTTTAGCTGAGCCATCCTGCCACCTGTTGGCAGCTCAGCTCGGGCCGGGCATCAAACCGCTGTTGCTCAGAGCTTGCACTCTTGAGAGAGTTCTTAACCAAGTGAGCCACTCAGCCGGACCTTCATTTCATCCTTAAAATGACCATGTAAAGTAAGAGTCCTATAATCTCAAGTGTTACGACCAGAAAATGTAATCATTTGCCAGGGGTCACACAAGTGATAAAAACTAGAAGAGATTAACTCTAATCAAGTGCTGCACTTTTTATATACAGAGGGTGCCAAAAAAATGTATACACATTTTAAGAAAGGAAAATTGTATTAAAATTTTAATACTCAATATATACCAATAACAAAAGATGAATACAAGTCACATTTGACTTCTGCAATTACAAGAGGTGCTCAAAGAAGTTACCATCAGTGTCCAGACACTTCTGATTACGGCGAACTACTGTTTGAGCAACACTGACCAAAGTGTCCACTTATATACATTTTTTTGGCACTCCTGGTATATCACACTATTAGAAAAATTTCTTTATTAAAATATTGAAAACTCCATAGAACCTAAATAAAAGGTTTTACTGTATTGGGTAGGAATTAAAGATATTTTTCATTTATTTAGTTAATATACTTTAATTATACAAGTTATTACCAATATTATACATATTAACAGAGAAACGGAATATTAGAAGGGCATTAAGATGGAGAACTAAAAACACCTAACTTCATTTCCTCAAATCTCATTAAAACTATAGTAAAGATATTTTTTGAAGCATAAATCCTCAAGAACAGGGAGAAAAGTAAAAAAGACAATAGCTGGAAAGGTTTTAGGAGGTGAAAAATAAGCAGAACTACTGGTAACTAACTTAGCAGTTCCCAAAACATCACATTCCAAGCTGCACTGGGGATAAATTAAGAACCAATTTAATTCACATGGCAGCAACTTCAAAAGACATAGAAACTAGGAGAACAAAGCACCTTTGCAAATTGGAGTGAAGGGAACAGATTGGTGTGACTGAAAAAGGGAATACTAGTGGAAAGCTACTTGTGTAGCATTAAGATGGCCTCACCACATTTCACTGAATACCTACCTGCTTGCCCCAATCCTAGAAAAAAACCTGAAAACAACATCTACAGTTAAAATGAGAGTAGCATACCAAGTAGAGAGGATTATGTGCTAACTGCAGAGACTCCTATTCCTCTTCCTCCCTGAATTTCCCAGAATGCTGAAAATCAGACTCCCGATTTTCCATATATAAAAAAGGAAGACCAAAAAATAAATAAATAAATAAATAAATAAATAAATAAATAAATAAATAAATAAATAAATAAATAAATAAAGGAAGGAAGACCATTCTCTAGAGATACTAACAAGCCCAAGAGACAAGACCTTAAGATCTGGGGAGCTCTCCAAAAATAGCCTATGCAAATCAGCCTATAGTGAAGTTTAAAACTGAAAAATTTAAATATTCTAATCAAATTTTTAATCTTCCACAACATATTAGGCAGTCAGACAAAAAAGAGGAAGGCAACTAAAACAAGTCTAACATGAAAGACAAAGACTAAAAAAATAAATTAATAACAAATAAAACTTTAAAAAACACAAAGCAATAGGCTACACAGGACGAAAACTTCAAAAAAAAATCATTAATATCCACAGATCAGAAAAGATGTTGCATTCATGTTCAAGAATAGAATACTACAGGCAAGGAATGAAACACATAAATTAAGAACATGATAGAAAAAATAAAAAACTCAGTAGAACTGGATGACAAAGCTGAAGAAATCTGAGCAAAAAGAAAAAGCTGTAAATGGGGGGAAATATAAAAAAACAATTGGGAGTTTCCATCCAAAAATTCTCATTGTAATGATAGAGTAGCAGAAGAAAGATATTACCAATGAACTCATTTAAGAAAAATATCCAGGATTGAAAGGCAAGAGTTGCCAAACTGAAAGAGCCCAATGAATGGCAGCAGTGATAAACTTTCAGAATACTGGAGGCTAATAACAGATTCTACAAGCTTCAAGTGAAGGGAAAAATCATAAAAAAGGATGGCTCCATATTTCTCAGTAATAATAGAAGCAAGAAGATAATGAAGCAGTGCCTTTAAAATTCTGAAGAAAAATTGTTTCTAAACTAGATTTCTATACCTAGCCAAACTATCAATCAAGCATAAAAACATAGAATGGCAATTTTCAGACACACAGTCACAAAAAAATATACCTCCTGTATACTCTTGCTCAGAAAGTAACTAGACAATATGGACCCCTTCCCCTAATGACAGAAGACATGACACATGGAAAACAAGGGTCCTACACAAAAGGGTAAAGAAAATCCCACGACAGTGAATAAAATTCCAGGAATGATAGTTGTGTACCAGATGTAGTGAGTAAACTAGGCTAGGCCGGAGCAATGAGACTTAAGAAACAAAAATGAAGTTAAAATCTTTGCTGCCAATATACCTGAGGGAAAAAATGTTCTTCTAAAAACATTAAAAGATCCTTAGTAAAGAACTGTACCAAATCATCTTAACTATTGTTACACAGAAAAGACTCATGGATACAGGCATCCTGGTATAAAGATGGCATTACCTTCATGAATCGACATCT